CAATAGAAATGGTCTCTAAACTGAAGAGAACACCCACAGAGTAGGAGGAAATATTTGCCAGCTACACATCAGACAAAGGACTGATAACCAGAATATATAGGAAACTTAAAGAACTAAATTCTCCCAAAACTAATGAACCAATAAAGAAATGGGCAAGTGAACTAAACAGAATTTTCTCAAAAGAAGAAATTCAAATGGCCAAAAAACACATGAAAAAAATGCTCACCATCTCTAGTAATAAAAGAAATGCAAATTAAAACCACACTAAGATTCCACCTCACCCCTGTTAGAATAGCCATCATTAGCAACACCACCAACAACAGGTGTTGGCGCAGATGCGGGGAAAAAGGAACCCTCTTACACTGTTGGTGGGAATGTAAACTAGTACAACCATTCTGGAAAAAAATTTGGAGGCTACTTAAAAAGCTAAACATTGATCTACCACTGGATCCAGCAATACCACTCTTGGGGATATACCCAAAAGACTGTGACACAGGTTACCGCAGAGACACCTGCACACCCATGTTTATTGCAGCACTATTAACAATAGCCAAGTTATGGAAACAGCCAAGATGCCCCACTACTGACAAATGGATTAAGAAAATGTGGTATCCTATACACAATGGAATTCTATGCAGCCATGAAGAAGAACGAAATGTTATCATTTGCTGGTAAATGGATGGAATTGGAGAACATCATTCTGAGTGAGGTTAACCTGGCCCAAAAGACCAAAAACCATATGTTCTCCCTCATATGCAGACCTTAGATCAAGGGCAAACACAACAAGGGGATTGGACTTTGATCACATGATAAAGCAAGAGTCACAAGGGAGGTATGAAGCTAGGTAAGACACCTAAAAATCTAGCTAGCATTTGTTGCCCTCAATGCAGAGAAACTAAAGCAGATATTTTAAAGCAACTGAGGCCAATAGGAGAAGGGGACCAGGACCTAGAGAAAAGGTTAGATCAAGAAGAATTAACCTAGAAAGTAATACACATGCACAGGAAAGCAATGCAAGTCAACTCCCTGTATAGCTATCCTTATCTCAACTAGCAAAAACCCTTGTTCCTTCCTATTATTGCTTATACTCTCTCTTCAACAAAATTAGAGATAAGGGCAAAATAGTTTCTGCTGGGTAGTGAGGGGGTTGGAGGGTTAGGGAAGGGGTGGGGGCAGGGGGGAGAAATGACCCAAACATTGTATGCAAATATGAATAAAAATAAATAAATAAATAAATTCAGTGTTTACAAAGGTTATTTCAAGATGCAATTAGGGTTGGCTATAGTTTAAAGTTTGCCTAGAGGGTTTTCTGAGGTCAAAATTTAAGGTACTAAGTGTGTTTAAAAATGGGTTTCTATTTTATCAAAATAATTGTCAGGGACTTTTGGTGGTTTAGGCTAATACAAAATTTTATCAAAACCAAACAAAAGTTCACCCTTCAGTTGGGCTGATAAAACCTTAAGTTTTTAGGAGTCTACAAAAAGGTAATTAATCCTAAAATACTAAATTATACATGCCATTCTCAATGACTGAGTCTGTTATTTTTGGGCTCCAGGGAATACATGCAGATCACAACAACCCTGTTATGTGTCCCAAGTCATTCTGTTAACATCAGCAGTCTGAGATGTAACTTTTTAATAACATCCAAGCCATGTCTCTCAGTCATGGGGTTTTCTAACTTTATGCTTACCCCCTTATCTCTATTTCTGTATCTAATCATTTGAGACATTAATCTTGTTGGTTTATTATTTAAAATATATACTTGTTCCCCTATTCTTTTCAAGTTTACAAGCTGACTACAACCCCATGGCCTGATATGAAAATTGACCACAAGCGATGGGTTTGCATCAGCCAAGCTTACATTGGTGCAATCTGGATTTGATAGTTAATTCTGTACTGGTTATTAATACTCAATAAATTGTCTTCCTTCATATTGTTGTCTTCTCATTTTACATGTTGTTTTGGTATCAGCTTCCTTGCCCAGTGTATGTTTTAATACATGCATTGTTGGTTTAACATTCAGGTTCAGCATTCCATTTAGGAACCTTCATGCAGGGGTGGAGAGATGGGTCCTTAGGACTCGAAGCCAGGGGCCCCTGCTACTTGTTCACTCCAGAGATGTCTGATGGAAACAGGTTGAAAAGGACCTGTATGAGGAACTTCCTTATTATCTAAAGAAGGGACACCTCATGGATCCAGGAAGTTATCACTCTCTCCCAAAAACCGCACTTTCCCTTTCCCTCTCTCTCTCTATCAGCCAGCATAGAAGCTGAGATTTACCACTTGGCTGTATCCTCAAATACTGGGAGTGCTTTGATCATGCTAACCAAAAAAAAAAAGATGACTAGTTTTCTTCATAGCCCATTTAAAATTATTTACTATTCTTTGCATCCTGCCTAAATTAGTCTCTTGCCAGATGCAAAAACCCTAAGGTATTTTTCTGGTAACACTGAGAAAACTAAGTGTAAACTAAGTAAAAATTCTTTTAAATGGTTCTAATACTGCTAGTGTCTTATATGTGTATCTAGATGTCATAAATCATTTACGGAGTTAAAAGTGTATCCATGTAAACAGCTATAGTTCTTTTATCAAAGGTACATTCTATCTAATAAGGTCTTTGACATTTCTGCTTTTTATGACCAATGCTAAAAGTTCTGCCATTTAGGGCTGATATCCATTTGTCAGATAAACATTGGTTTACCTGTCATGCTTGTCGGATAAACACTGGTTATCTGACATCGGCTAAATCATATATGATATACAATTAAATGTTAAAACAAGGACTATTTAAAATTACTGATACTGTCTTGGAAAATTTTGGGTTTTTAATTGCCAGTACTGCATTGACAGTGCTGACAACTAACTTATTACTTTACCTAACAAAATTCAAGATTTAAACTGTGATTAACCATGGTTTGGTCATTACAGTTTGATCCTTCAGGAGTATATATAGGCCAAGTTCATGAAAAATGACTCTGACAAGTGCTTATCTGTCAACCAGGACAGACATTCTTAAGTACTGGGGTCATTTTGTATTTTCCTTGTAAAAACTTTATAACTGTAGCCTGATAACACTTTACAGAAATTTAAAGGTATCAGTACAATTAGATTTAATTAAGCCCAACCTAACAGCCATTTTCAAATAAATCTCTTTGTTGCTTAATTTGTCCAAAAATGTTGCATTGGCACTGACGTCTGATCTGTTCAATGTGTTATTCCCACCCTTCCATAGGACAAAATCTGACTTTCTAGATTTTCCAGGAGAAGCCACTCCTGCTACAAATGGACAAAACTTCCAAATTGGCAGAATCTTTACAGATGACTACTCAGAGAAACAGTTTAAGAGGATGCAACCCCTGAGCAGTTGGTGTCCTCCAATGTCTTAGAGGAACAAGTGGCGTTCAGCCACCCAAAACAGTTCAAAAGGACTGCACAAATGAGAGGACTTCTCTAGATCCAGCTGGAGTCAATTATGACAGACTTCTAAAAGTAACCAAAGCTGAGAGATTTTTAAATGGGGCTCTTATGCTTGTGCTCTAATATGTAAGCTTCCAGCAAAAGGTAAACTCATGTCTTTGGCCAAGGCCTTCTGTTTAAGCAAAAGCAATATTAACTTTCAATGGTATTTAACTTCTGTTTAAGGACACTGTGAATCTTTTTCTGTACAGAACGGGCTCATTGATGTTTACTCTCTAATTGGACTGACACCTACTCCCCTGGTACACCTAGCCCCTAATGTAGATATTGCCCCAATCAATCAGTCCTTAACTGCCCATTATAGTGACAGTCCAAAACAGAGGGCCATCTAAGAGTTAAAAATGTATAAATACCTATAGGCAAAGACTATCACTTTTCAAAAGTCCTTTATCCTTCCTGCCACACCTGGCAGAGTCCCTTCTGATGCTCCTTTCAATGCTCATATTCAGGTCATGTCTTCTAAATCGAATTTATCTCTTCCAGAATTAGAGCCTTTAGGTCCCAAATCATGAGGCAATGGGGCTATTGATCTCTACAAATGAACAAGCTCTCCCTGAGCAACCCAGAGCTCATGAGAAACCTTGACTATGCTGGATGATAATTCAGACACCTGTATCCAAATGAGCCTCAAGGGAAAGATATAAGAGAGATTATTTCCCTTTGTAGGCAGCATCTGCTGCCCCTTGTCAGCCTGAAGCAGATACCGAAGATTGACCGCCCCCCTTCAGTAGCCCCCCAAAAAGAGTTTCTTGGAATATTGTCTCTCAGGGAGAATTTGAGGCAGGGTAGAGTAGGAAAGTTTGGGACTCATATGCAGGTTGCCCAGGGATGGCCCAGACCACCCTCACTTGGCTGGGAACCACCCATGCCCCTCTCCACTCATTGATTATTGGATGGGATTTTGCTGGTTCCTCCCTTCCCATAGATTAGCGTTAAGTTTCAAAAGCACCTGAAAAAGAAAAGCACACTCTCTCTGCCGGTAGACTCCATCTGTGCCCCACCGTGCTCCCCTTTGTATTTCCCTTTCCCTAACTTTTAATAAACACCATTTACACCCACGTGTTCTGCTTGTATTCTTCCATGCCAGAGCTCAAGAACCAAGGCCTTCTGGAAACACCATTTGCTGTTAACATGTTTACTTGTCTCCATTCCCTACTAGATTTGACTCTCCTTGATGACAGAGACCATGTTGTGATCACTATTATATTTGTGGCACCAAGTGCCTGAACATAGTAAGTGCTCAATAAATATGTGTTTAATAATTGAAGGGGGATCAGGAAGTTAGGTTAGCACCAAAATCTTTGATGATATCTGTGCAAACTACTTGGTATGAATGAATTCTGGTCTAAAGCCAAATTCACATTAACAGTGTCCTAGCTTCTGGTCACTATGACTGGATTCAAGGCCTTGCTTAGGACCTGCTTATTTATCTACAAAGAATTCCTATCCACACCTCCAAAATGAAAGCATTCTCAGTGGAAACACTTGATAAGGCATTACTTGAGTTCAAAGAAAACACTGACCTCCTTTGTCTCTTCAGAAAAAGCTTGCAGAATGTCGGTCTGCCTGGTGTAGTTGCCATTGGCGTCCTGAAGTCCTTGCAAAATGCGCTCTCGCAGGACCAGCACAGAGACCCGGAGCTGGTGCCAGAGAAGCTGCACTGCATGGATGTCCACAATCACATTGACAGAGTAGGACAGCAGCTTTAGGGAGAACTCTGTTTCCAGGAGGGCATGGATTTGCTCGACATGGTCAGAAATGTCTTCACAAATGTCCTGCAGTAAAGAAAAGCAAAATGTGTGATGACTACTTTACCCTGGAAGAGGGGGAGGTATAAAAGGTCACGCTTTCTTTTTACTACCAGTTATCAGAGCCTACAATAGCACATGTTGAGTACCTGGCTTTGTTTTAGTTCAGATACATAGTTGCAGGCCATATTCCTGTGTACTGGGCCTACCTTTCCTTCGGGGAGGTTGATCTTTTTTCTAAATCGCAAAAAAATCTTACTGTTCTTTCAGGTGCCTAAATTGCATGTTCAGCTAAGTTGAGAGGTTCACTGCCCCCTCACCCTCAGTCCACCCTCTGTTCTCTTTTTCAATTTTTGTTTGGGGTTTTAGTAAGAGAACTAACAGTTGTTCTACTTGCTAGTGGTAAGATACACAGAGCACACAACACTTCTGGATAGATGCATTGTTCAGACATCTAACATTAAGAAGGATGGGCTAGAATGTGTGCTTCATATGAACTCCCAGTTGTTCTCATGAGCTTATGGGGTCTTGACTGTAAGGGGTAATTGTAACTCTCCCACAAAGACACAGTTCAATACAGAAATTCACAATGGATATCTTAATTTCTAACCCACACTTTTCCAAAGATGAAAACAATAAAAATATAGTTTAAGAACCAGAAATTTTAAACAAAAACATTACTAAGCCAAAGTTTCAGCCACTTTCACACATAATATTTTGTAGGCAGAATTGGTGTATGACATGTCAGCTGTTCTTATAAGTTCCTAAATTTCCATTATGGTGCTAAGAGGCCAGAAACATGAAATGAGGGTCATCAATGGCACTAAGGATCAGAGTGATGCAGGCATCAGCTAAAAGTACTCAGTTACTTATTTTTAATTGTGTGTCAATGATTTTTTAAAATTGGGTTTTAGTAGTGATTTTTGTTACGAATAAAATTTTAAGATAAGCATTTGCATTCTGTATCCTATTATCAGTGTCAAAATAATCTTTCTGTGCTAGAAATATAACCTTCTGATTTCATGTGTGTTCAGTTACTGTTTTAAAAAGAAAAACTTTAAATTCCTCTATATTACATTGACAAACGAGTATGGTTCCCATTTTTCTCTCTCCATACCAAACACACCATTATGTTAGGTAATTTCAATATTCACATTGATGAACCTCCACCAACCTAGCCTCAAATTTCCTTTACAACTCTTAGGACCTTCATACCCATTCCATTAAGACATCTCTATCACAGCTCTTCACTGGACCTGTCATCACTCTACCTGTGCAACAATGTAAGAAAATCTCCTATGCTAGCACTCTCTCTTTTTCCAACTTTTTCACTCTTGTCTTCCACTACAGGGCTCTTCTACTTCCTTTAGCCTACCAGCCCTTCCATCCCCTTTTGCTCCAAGCACAGCACCAATGATAATCACTTCAGCTACTGTCTTGGCAGTGTTCTCAACTTCCTCACACTCTTGATCTTATAACTTGGATTTGTTAACCTCCGTCTCTTTTGTGTAACTTTGATCCTATAGATGTAGAATACTTTACATACCTAGGAGAGCAAAAGGCCTTGTCACCAGTTTGTACCACAAAATTACTGATAGACTGTTGTCCTATCAACTCTAGTTGCTTACAGATGCTATTTGCTTGCAAAAGTTAAAGAAGGATACTAATAATCACATGCTTGCAAATATAGACCACTCAGTTATCACCTGCTGTGGGAAAACTCTAGACCAGCTGAATCTGATTCAGGCATCATATTGATACTTCAGATGACATTGGACTCTGGTAACAGAGTAATCATTATACCACCTACCCAGAATAGACAAATAAGCATTTCTTACCTATGCCACTCCCATTCCCCAATATAAAAGATGATGCATCACCTTGGCACCACAAAAGCTCCATGACAAAACACATCATCCATTCCTCTTACACAGGATTTGATCCCTTTATAATGGATGTAGAATATAGTCAGAGTCAGGACATGGATCAAAATTGCCAGGCAACTATCCAGAGGAATAATCTGTAAGAGGTACTAAGACATCATTGGTGCCAGTTAACTAAGGTTTCAATACCTTTCTCTTTACATAACTTAGAAAGCAAAGGCAAATTGACCCAGCTCCCACAGAACCTGATGAACCATGAGGGGAAAGAAATACCTTCCTCACAAGTGTTGACCTCTCTTTGTTGATTATATTGGTAACATACACATGCAGTCTCTGCTGGATTTCTGAAATTGCACAGCATGGTGCAACTTTCTGGCATCTATTAATTAATATTTTTGCCTTGAACTCTAAGAGTGGCTTGGCAAAAACCACAAGAATACACAAACTATGGAATAAAATGTAAAGATGTGAGAATGTCTGTGTATAGCTCCATACCCAAACAAACTCTGCTTTGAACATTTGATGAGATATTTGTTAGAGAAAGATAAGTAATTCTGAAGTATATACTTTCTAATAATAGAACATTTGTTTTCCCCACCCCCCGCAAAAATGTTGATTAAATATTTATACAATAATTAGCCTGAAGTATCTAATGCTTAGCCCCTTAACTACTGCCAGTTTATTACACTTTTATGTGAAAGAAGTTGAAGATTATGAACACTCTGGGATTTTATTGAAGTCAGATAACTAGGTTAGAGACTTTTAAAAACAATTTGCTGAATGGCTGCCTCCCAGTAGGAACTGTTTAGTATTAAAAGGCTCCAAGAGATCCATCCTGTGGAGGCTCTGCAGGTACTTGATTAACAAGATGGAGTGGAAGCTTGTGGCTCAGAGTTCTGGACCAGCCTAACTGAATCATGTAAGGAGTGATTGCTGTTCAGACTCAACTGCACATGTGACGAACAGAAGGCAACTGGACTCAGTTCACATGGTTAAGCTGCTCACTGGATAACAGATTTGCTAACACTGTAGTGCTACTCATTAGAAACAAAACTGAAATTTCAGAAGAGAATCAGAGTTTTAAGGATATAAAAAGAAATAATCCCTTCATGACTAGAGATTATCCATCTACCTATGTATCTATCTATCTATCCATCTTAGAGAACTATACACAAAATATTTCTTCTCATCTGTTTGCTGAGAATACTAACAGGAAACAAAGTCTGTCATTCCATAATTAGAAAGTTTAAATAACACTTAAAGTTTAAACAACATTTAACGTGGCAAAGATTGATTAAACTGATTTAGTGACTACAATTCATGGTGAAGTATAATCACCCAACAAATGTTACTGTTTGATTTCAAAGTATTTCCTGTTTTGATAGAGAAAAGGGTTCTAGTATGAAGATAACTGAGCCTGAGCTCAAGAAAAGGATGAAATGTCGAAGATGATATGGTTAGCAGCCATGGAACCCTTTCCAGCATCGATGGGAGAGAGTTCCATCAGTCATTCTTCAATAAAGCTGGCTATTTTTAGAAAGTCACCTTTCATAGTCTTAGTCTGATATTATCGCATTTCTCCTACTCACAGCTAATTCTTTCTTATATTATTATCAATTCAGCCGTTCTCCCCACTGTCTTCTCTGACTTTTGGATTCCTCTCCTGATCCCCAAGTATATCTCACCTGTGACAATGGACCACAATTCTCTCAATCAAAAGACTCCAGATTCAGACTCTTGCCCAGAAATTCAGCTCTCTCCCTTTGTAATCCATGTCCAGAAATAGAGAGCTGAAGGACCTTGGGAATGCAAAGTTAGAAGAAAGGCAGAACCAGAGATAGGTGGACCAAAGATACCAAGACAAATTTTATTTACCTTCAGAAGCTTGCCTGGAACTATTAAGCTATTTTCTTTACCTATTATCTTGTATTGTTACAGACAAATAAAAGCTATTACATCTAACTTCTTAGGAATGTTATTTAACAACAATTATTTCATATAATTTATGAATATTTTTATTGTCAACCGAATGTAGCTTATTTCCAAGAGGATTTGTTTATTTCTTTATGTGAATATTCTCCCCAACTAGGGGGCTTATTCCCTAGCTTCTCTTTATATAGTTACTGGCTACCAGTAAGTTGGCCACTCAAGAATTGTGATGACATGAATCTCACTTCAACAGTCTTGTAATTAACAAAAGATTAATTTCAGTAGATAAACAGGTTTACTGCTTGGGTTTATCTTTCAATATCACCAATTGATATCCATTGATTAAGCTATTTAAAATCTCCCATGCTTCTACATGGACGTCATTCATTTCTCTATATCTTTAAAATTCAACAAACTTGAGCTGGGCACTGATGCTGGCTTATGACTGTAACCCTAGCTACTCAGGAGGCAGATATCAGGAGGGTCAAGGTTGTAAGCCAGCCCAGGCAAATCATTTGTGAGACCTTATCTTGAAAATAAACAACACAAAAAAGACTGGTGGAGTGGCTTAAGTGGCAGAGAGCCTGCTTCACAAGGGTGATGTCCTGAGTTCAAACCCCAATACAACCAAAAAAAAAAAAATAATAAAATTTTTTTTAATTGAGGGTAATAGTTTTTTAACGTACTTTAGACAATAACTTTTTATAGCTACCCAAGTTGCCCTATAACCCATAATTAAGGACAAAAGGATAATATCATTAAATAAAACCTCATTGACTATATCAACACCTACTATGTACTAACCAATGTGCTAGGGATAATAGGTGAATAACAGGTCTGCCCCTGTGGAGTTTCCTGCCTGTTAGGAGGAGGCACATACCAGAATTTTCAGTTGGGAAGATAAATATTCATGAAGAGTAAAAAGATGAGTAGGAAATGCCTATAGGATAATGGAGGAAGGAAATGAGAAAGCTTTTTGAAGGAAATAAAGTTTGTGTCTTGAAGAAGACAGTCAGGAGAATAAGGCAGAGAAGAGCATTCCAGAAAACACCAAGTATCCATATGATCTCTGAAATTATGGACCTGGGGTTTGGCAGTGATTTGTTAGGCATGGAACCAAACACAGAATCCATAAAAGAAAAAAAATGAATTTTATAAAAATTTTAAACTTTTGTTCTATGAAAGACATCTTTTCTTTCTTTCTTTCTTTTTAAT